ATTATTCCCATCACTTGGGCTTTCTCAACTGCTTATGCGTTGCCAAGCTCAGGGACGCAAACTTTCCCATGTGCAGGCTGAGTTACTTTTCCTTCCCTGATGCTCCTTGCCATTCTGCTTTTGATACGTCCCCCAGACCTGATGGTGGCATTGACCTTGCGCCTCTCTATCAGTAAATAGAATATTATATATGTTATAATAATCTTATTATATGTTATAAGGTTATCTACATAACCTTATTTTAACCTTAGTGATTTGATTGATTTGCATATTGACAAATTAACCTATATAATGTATAACCTTATTGATTTGATTGATTTGAATATTGACAAGCTAACCTTATGTAACGTATAACCTTATTGGTTTGATTGATTGATTTTAATACTGACCAAATCATAGCTGGGGGGGGCTATGGATGCGGTGCTCTCTCTTTTCCCTTACAAACATCTCTCTGGAAGGAAGCAGACGCAGGTGGGTTATTTTAGGTCTCAACGACTGCCAGGGTCACAGGCTCAGCCTGCTGACGTGAGGATCAAGCCGTGTTCCCTGGCCATCGTTCGTCATCCCCCGACATAACGGTTCTCAAATCAGCACTTAGCGAGCAGTCGGCGATGATGCACAAGACATCATTGACTGCAGCTCCCCCTTTCACAGCGTGATGAGCGGCGCTGTGCTGACTGTAATAACAAGTTGCTTTTGTCAGTAAATGAGGCAGATGTGATTCAGAGACACCTAGGGAGTAGCTGGCGAGTAGCTGTACGCAATACGGAGGACTGATTTTTAGAACAGGCTTTCAAGTCCAAGAATGGAAAACGTGAATAATCTTCTCTCCGTGGGTGCCCTCACAGCTCCTACCCTCCTCCTTCCTCTCGCTGCCACCAGGCTTCCCAGAGGTTGTCCTTGGTTTTGTCTTCTGCCAGACAGCCTTCTTTCGAAAACACCCGCACCACAGTGCTACATTTGCCTGGGTTTAAAAGAACTGCTTATAAACCGTCGTCTTTTTTTTTTCTCTTTTACCTCTTTCATCCTGGCTGATGTCTCTCTTAAGCTGTAATCTCTGTGAAACAGTCAAATGTTTATCGTAGATCGTGCCTCCAAAACTCTTACTGGGGCTTAGAGATAATTGGATGCAAGTTCCTATCCAGTCGTGCTCTGCTAAGCCATAAGCAAAGCGAGCAGAGAGGACGCTTCCTGGAAAATATTTTTAGATGTTAATTTGTAAAATAGCATAACTTAGAGCCCCAAACGCCTGCAGCAGGCCTGGAGCAAGTGGGTCTGGTGGAGAGTGCTTTGGCTCTGCTTGCTCTGACTTGCACTAAGTGCTCGGCTCGGGGAGGTTGCGCTGGAGCCCACCCGCAGCACGGTGCGTGTCCGTCTCCATCCCTGTCGCATCGCCCCCAGACCCGCGGCATATGGGGACTAGAAGGAAGAGCACGACAGTAAAGAAAATATTCCCAGGGTGATCTCCTCTAAACCACGCTGGCTTAGTGCCCGGTTTGGTCGTGTCCCTACGCCCCTTTATGAAACACTCCCAGCTCACTGTACCTGATTTATTCATACTGGCCCCATGCAGTATTCATGACTGCAACAGGAGAGCGAGCCTCCCCGTCACCTTTTCTGATTCTGCCTGCTATTGATCAGGCCTAAAATATCTGGCTGGAGACCAGCCTGCAAGGTTACGCGTCAGGACTGTGTTTTAAAACGCGTTGCCCAGCTAAATAACAGCAAGGTAGGGCACCTTCCCAGAGCGACGTGCCCCTGTCAGAATTTAGCTGCACCTCTGGGACTGGCAGCCTCCAGAAGTATTCAGTGCTGAAAACCAGCCTTGCTGCTTTCAAGCCTTTAAATATTTCATTAAAAGCCCCAAATGCTTTTTCTAAGTTACCAACCCAACACTTAAAATATTAAAACCAGTCTATTTATAAAGCAGCTAATGCTCCTCGGCCACAGAGGTGAGATCCACAGGTTCAAGTGAGTTCTGACTCACGGTGAGATATTTTAAAGGACAGAGGGAAAATGAATGAAATACCAAGGCATTCCTTTTGGGTAAGGTGAAGATGGGGCTCTTAATTTTGCCACTACGCTAAAGCTAAGTGTTTACAAAAAGCAAATATTTACAAACTCATTTTGCAAGGATCCTGTTGGTTAATATATAAAATGGAATCGTGCCTTGGAAATCATTTCCCCTTAGGGAAATTATCCATGGGGACGGTGGGGGAAGGGGGCTGCAGCGCATCAGCTTCAGGTAGCACATGTTGCTGCGTCTGCACGGGCAGGGTTTGCATGCACGGACTTGACTGTAAGTGGGATTTCCAGAGGTCGAAGGCTTTTGCTCCCAATCTCTGTTCGTGCGGGACAGCGTGAGAGGTCCCTTCTTCCAGGTCTGTTCCCCACCCCTTGCTGGAGGTTACCTCTCAGCTACCTCCATCCACAGCCTGGCAAATGGACTTCACCGCTGATTTCGGCTTAGGTGAGCAGGTCAGGTGGTGGGGTGGAGGGAGGAAAATCAGTAAAGAACAGCAGCCTGGGATTAAATCATCAGAAATTGAGACCCAAAGCCCTCGATGATTTGGGGACAAGCTCCATTAGGCTTTTTCCTCAACGATTCAGAGGGCTGCTTTTTTTATTGGGATGCGACGGGTGTCTCTCCATGAAGCCTGCAGAGAGACACGGTAGTGGTAGGCAAGATGCTGGGCAGCATGGTTGATCTTGCCTAGTACACCACAGAGTATCAAGAACGTTTGTTTATGTAAGAAATACATTTATATAATTGTGGGTTTTACTCTGCTGTAAACACGTACAGGTTATTTGTTTGTAAAAATTCACTTTTTTTGCCCACGAATGCACTGCCATCTTGCCCCTTCTAAAATCCCGACAGCCTTCCCCGTAGTCAGATCACTTGCTCGGTGCTGACTTCTCAGTTGACCGTCCAAAGAGGTCGATCTGTGCACCAGCATTTGCCATCTGTTTCAAGAACCCTTACTACACCGAGGAGTCGCTCTGTGCGAGTCTCCCCGAGCTGGCCGTCAGCAAACACTGGGTTTGTGTTCCCAGCCCTGTTCCACGTTGAAGCAGTTCGGCTTCCTCTCTGCTGCTATGGCTGGGTTCAGGAAAGAGTCCTTCGCCCGTAAAGGTGCGTTTCTGGTTTAACTAGCTGTCTGTAAAGGAGTGTCGTGGTTTAACCCCAGCTGGCAACTCAGCACCACGCAGCCTCTCGCTCAATCCCCCCCACAATGGGATGGGGGAGAGAATCGGAAGTGTAAAAGTGAGAAAACTCATGGGTTGAGATAAAAACAGTTTAATAGGGAAAGCAAAAGCCGCGCACGCAAGCAAAGCAAAGCAAGGAATTCATTCCCCACTTCCCATGGGCAGGCGGGTGCTCAGCCATCCCCAGGAAAGCAGGGCTGCATCATGCCTAACGTGGACTTGGGAAGACAGACGCCATCACTCCGAAACCCTGCTCCCTGCTTCTTCCCCCAGCTTTATATGCTGAGCAGGACATCATATGGTATGGAATAGCCCGTGGCTCAGTTGGGGTCAGCTGTCCTGGCCATGTCCCCCCCCAGCTTCTTGTGCCGCTGGTGGAGCTGAGAGCTGAGAAGTCCTTGGCCAGTCTTAGCACTACCCAGCAACAACCAAAACCATCAGGGTGTTACCAACATTCTTCTGGTACTAAATCCAAACCACAGCACTGTACCAGCTACTAGGAAGAAAATTAACTCTGTCCCAGCCGAAACCAGGACAAGGAGTAGTTTGGATGGGGGGTTTTCCCATTGTTTTGAAGGGTGTGGTGAGAATACTTTGGGGGGGCAGCAGGTACAGTACACCGGACAACCTTTTATCTCAGGTGCCTGGCTTCCATGTGTTTGCAGCACGTAGCTGAAGAGCTCCAGGACCTGCTCCAGTGGCTCATGGGAGCGCCAGCTGGACTGAAAATGAACCGAGCTTTGGATCAGGTTTTGGGACGCTTCTTCCTTTACCACATCCATCTTTGGATTAGTAAGTGCAACTGTTTAACTTTTCAGCCTCCCTTTTCATCTCTTCCCTCCCGAGTGTTTAACGTTTGCCTGGAGGTGAATAACGAATCAAAATGCACCACCGCAAGTACAGACTTGTCTGTGAGTCTTCCTGCTGTGGGAACTCAAGCAAAAGTTGGATTCCCACACGAGGAAGTCACGCATATTAAATAAAGTGCTTGTACCGATGCTTTGCAAGAAGTGCAAATCGCGACGGAGCTTCCTTATGTGGTGCCGTTAGTGGTGAGTGTCCAAGGGAAGGCTTTGGGTCCTATGTAGACTTTCGTAGTCTTTGCCCTGTAAGAGGGATAGGGGGGAGAAGTGTGCTCTCAGGATGCACATGCAAACTCTGGCTTGTCACTGACTTCAGCTTAGTGCAATTTTGTTATTTCAACACACACACACCCCGTTATCCTTGATGATGGACATGAACGCCTCAGTGGTTACACTGATTTACTCTGCTCACCAATCCAGTATGGTCTCGTTTCCGTGACTTTGCTCCGCTTTAGTGGTGAAAGAGACTGGGTGCCCCCTCGCTATTTTATTTCAAAAGCCATCTGGGATGGCTTTTGTGGGAATAGCAGGAAAAGGGGAACGGTTGCAGTAAAGGTTGATGTGTGCCGTTAAAAATAGACCTGGACGCAAATCTAGGAAAGCAAATCCCATGTGGAGCAAGGTGACTGCTCGTGTAAGCTGAGCATGTCCTCCCCTTCCCTGCAGAGCTGCCACACCTGGACCAAAACCTAGAGGGAAGGAGAGGGTTTGTTGGCCCTCCTAAAGAGAAGATGGCATCTAAAGGAGTTTTCTGTTTTTACTTCCATGCTTTTGTGGCTCTGATTTCTGGAGCAGTGTTCTAGGGCACAGATAATCATTCTTTTGAAAGTGTCAACGGGAAGGTGTCCCAGGCAGATACTGACTCTGCAATGTCCCCTAGGCTACATTCATCTGATGTCCCCGTTCATCGAGATGATCCTCTGGTACGTCGGTCTGTCAGCTTGTCTGGGCCTGACCGTGGCGCTCTGCATCCTCTCCGACATCATTGCGCTTCTGACTTTCCACATCTACTGCTTCTATGTCTACGGAGCCAGGTGAGTTGACCTCTCTTGGTTATGACTTGGGTATGTTTGGAGAGAAGGGCCACTGAACACTCACGTGTTTCATGTGAGGAGCCTTCAATCCTGCCCTAGTTCTCTTGAATTCACAGTTTAGCCAGCAGTTAATCTATTGCATTCTTCTATGCACATAGAAGTGGCGGCCACAGCAGTACAAGCAACCTATCTTTCCATTCTCCTGCATTTAAATATTTATCTATTGCGGTAGTGACCTTGAAAAATAAAACTACGTGATAGGCAGAGGACAAGAAAGCAGTTCACCCTATCCCTTAGATTCAACTCTTTTCAATTGCCCCCTACCCAGTCCTTTTGAGGGGAACTGGAGGAGAGGAGAAGGAAAAGGGAACCCTTGTACTTCTGGAGAAGCCCCAAAGTCCCTGCCTCTGCCTTGCTTCAGAGGTTCTTGTCAGCGCAGTGGAGCACAGATGGCAGGTTTGGGGTTACAGTGTGGCGGTGACACCATCCTGATGTCATTGTCTGGACCTGCTGGAGAGCCCCATGGCCTGAGAGCTGGGCAGAGGCTCTGAGGCGGTGGGGGGGGCGGTGGTGCAGAGAGCTTTGGGGTACATTGGGGTTACTGCGCAAATGGTGCCCACCAACGTGCGCTGTTCCTGCCCTCGTTAACACGAGAATAGCCACCCTTGCCCAGGAGGTGAGAGACAAGGTAGGGAATACAGAAACTCTTGGCTTATAGAGTACAGAACGGTCGTCGTTCCTCCCCAGGCTGTGAGCAGAGGGCTTGACATCGCAAACAATGCAAGAAACAGTGGAACCTTGGTTATGGGTAGTTTAGAGGATGGTTAGAAATGCTGAGATACGTTTTATGAACCAGTTCTGTTGTGAGCATAGGGCTTACGCCCAAAATCAGTAACGTCAGTGATGGGGAGTCTCTTCCCAACAGCTCAACTACTGGAATTTCTGTTTTGGGCTGTGAGGAGGGGCCTTGCTCCTCCTCATTGTGCAGAGAGTGGAAAGAGGAAAAGCATTTTCTCAGCTGATTGCTTTTCCCTCATGAGCTGCAGGGAGCCAGCCTCCCCACCTTGGCTGGTTGTTAGAAGTGTAGAGCAGCTATGTGTTACCTTGCCGCTGGCACCAAACGGCCCCTGCTGTGCCAGGGGCCCCCCAGGGAGAGTCCAAAAGGGATAGCGGTCGCCCACATCAGCACAGCCGCCGCCGCACCTTGCCTTCCTGCAGCTGGTGGGAGAATTTGCTGGTTTGGGTGCTGGGGAAGCCTGAGATCCCCGCCTGAAACAAAGGGCACGGTGAAGCAAGAGCAGGCCTGTGTGTGCAGGCAGCCAGGGAAGCTGGGGCGGGGGCCGCAGCAGGAACGCCCGCCCAGTGCCGTGTCAGGGCATGCGGGGAATCGTGCGGCCCTCGTCGGAGCCACGGGGCAGGCGTGTACCAGCAACCTGGAGGAGCTGTCCTGGGCGCTATTCCTGCCTAGGGATTAGAGCACTGAGCTGTGCCTGCCCGTCCAGAGGCACCTTGCCAATTCCTTGAAGCAGTTGGTGTCCCTCAAACCAGATTCTTCTCTTGCATAAGACTCCTTGCCTCTGCTTTCACAGCACTGCCTTGAAATCTGAGCAGCCTCCACGCCTTAACTAGGCTGGTTAACCAGTCTGGCTTTTGTAGCTCAGGCTTTCTCAGGCTCTGTCCTGCCCCAGAGATCGGCTGTGTCCCCCTTCTTTACATCCCTGTATGTTGGCCACCGCTGCCCAGGGCTCTTTGTGCCTCTTCTCCATCCAAGGGGCTCTATCTCCCTCGGTGTTATTCCGTAGGGGTGTCTATTCCCCACCCCTTATCACCCCAAGCTTCTCTCACCGTTACCGTTTTTCTGGGATGGAAGTAGCTCCAAGTGCCGTAGCACCAAGTGACAAAAGCCTCAGGAAAGGATACGGTAGAAGTGCCACCAGCCATTTCAGTGACCTCTTCCCGCTCTTGCGGATGTTGGAAGCTGTGGTCCTGCCTAGGGATTAGAGCACTGAGCTGTGCCTGCCCGTCCAGAGGCACCTTGCCAATTCCTTGAAGCAGTTGGTGTCCCTCAAACCAGATTCTTCTCTTGCATAAGACTCCTTGCCTCTGCTTTCACAGCACTGCCTTGAAATCTGAGCAGCCTCCACGCCTTAACTAGGCTGGTTAACCAGTCTGGCTTTTGTAGCTCAGGCTTTCTCAGGCTCTGTCCTGCCCCAGAGATCGGCTGTGTCCCCCTTCTTTACATCCCTGTATGTTGGCCACCGCTGCCCAGGGCTCTTTGTGCCTCTTCTCCATCCAAGGGGCTCTATCTCCCTCGGTGTTATTCCGTAGGGGTGTCTATTCCCCACCCCTTATCACCCCAAGCTTCTCTCACCGTTACCGTTTTTCTGGGATGGAAGTAGCTCCAAGTGCCGTAGCACCAAGTGACAAAAGCCTCAGGAAAGGATACGGTAGAAGTGCCACCAGCCATTTCAGTGACCTCTTCCCGCTCTTGCGGATGTTGGAAGCTGTGGTTTAGTAAAGAAGGCGCAGGGGCTCCAGTCCCCTCCCTTGCCTCTCCGTGCTGCGGAGGCAAAATTGCATTGTATTGACACAAGCGTGAGGGGTAAGACCTTGGCCACTCCTGCCATGGAAGGGGTGTGAAGCAAGGGGAGCAGGGCAGATCTAAACTGAAGCGACAGAGGTGAGCTCGGGGGAAGGAGCTTGCTGCTTCTTTTGCTCCAGAAAAGGTGGTGGCATGGGGCTGGCAATTGCTGCTGCTCGTAGGGGCCACCCTACAGCATCACTTGCCACTTCCCGTCTGCCAACCTCTTCATCAACGGGAGCAGAAATCGAGAGCCTTGCCGTGGCCCCAAGACATGGTGTGGCCATTGCCCTCCAGTGGTCCAGAGCTGTCTGCAGTAGCCTGCTTTGCCCATGCCACAGGCCAGCCCAAATACGGTTGACTGAGCAATTAGTATTTTATCTGCATCGTTCTTGGGCTGATCTCTTTTGCCGGTAAGTGAGCGGGCGCAGGGGTTTAACGATGACCGCTGGTTTGTGTTGAAGCTCGGGAGCTCGCAGCTCTGATGCACGGCGTCTTCTCTTTCTCAGGCTCTACTGCCTGAAGATTTACGGCCTGTCGTCTCTCTGGCGCTTGTTCCGTGGGAAGAAGTGGAACGTCCTCCGGCAGCGGGTGGATTCCTGCTCCTATGACTTGGACCAGGTAGTGCTGCAGCACCCGGGGCTCCCTGCGGGACGCTGCCCGTGGGCAATACGATCCCATCCTGCTTCGGCTGAGACAGAAGCCACGGGAAGCTTTGTGGTGCCTGGAACAAGTGCCTGCCCCGGCACTCTGCATCCGCGGCGCTTCAAACGAATGCTGGGACTCTGCTGCTCTGCAGCACCCCTTCACTCCTCTGCGTGTTCAGGAGGCCTAATCCTGGCAAGCGCTGAGCACCCGCGAGGCACCCCGGTAACTTCAGTGGGTGCTGCAGATGCTCGCAGCTCCTGGAGCATGGGAGCGGGTATGGGGGAGGGAGGCAATTTAAAAAGCGGTGCCCAGCAGTGTTACCACAGTAACAGACGTGCCAGCGTTTCTATTAAAAGGCCCCGTTCCATTCACGTTAGCTGGAGCCTGGCCCACACGATCTCCCTTGAGCAGCAGGGACAGTTTTTTGTCAAAGGCTGCAGGCTCTTTTCAATTTCTGAAACGCCGCGCGGAAGCTGAGCAGAGCCGGAGCCGCTCCACGCCGGCAGCTGCAAACATCACTAAAAGAACGTCGTAATATTTGGTAACTTCCAGGGCCAGAGCTGCTCGCTCCATCGCAACAGAGAACCTTGAGCTTCTTGCACCACGCTGGAGGAGCTATCTTTCTGGTTTTTTGGCGATGGAAAAGTAAGAGCCTCCATGCCAGGAAGGGGGTTTGCATCAGGGCTGGCTCCCTGTGTACTCTGAGGAGAATTGGCTTGGCGCTCCAGGCTTCATCCTGCTGCTCCGGAGGCCAGTGGGAATTAATGTCGTCGGCCTGGGTGGGAAGGGACATTCAAAGCAGACCTTGAAAGACTTCTGGAGATGTTAAGCAACTGCAATGGAGTGTGAGAGGAGGGGAGAAGCATCTGCCGTGAAGAGAATGGGTTGGATTATGAGCTATTTCTGGTTACGTGCATAAAGCTGGGATGCTGGTCCACCTCCGCGGCAGGACCCTCTGGGTTCCTTTCGCTCGTGACACACCGTGGCCATGGTCTCTTTTTGCAGAAATGGCAGTGCCCTGTGTTCCTGTGGCCTCTCCGTTTGGGAAGTGGTGACTGAAAATTGAAGGGTCAGATCCCTATTTGTCATAAATCTGCATTTCTCCCAGTTGGAATTAGTTAGACTTAGGCCAACTGGGCTGGCCCAGAGTAGGAATAACTTCTTCTGTGGGCAGTGGAGCCAATGACACCCGCTTTCCTATGGATTTTTCTCCTTCCTCCTCTGAATATTGCTCCCCCCACCCCAGTAACTCCAGCTTCTTTCTCTTTCCCAGTTTCCAACCGAGCAAAAGGCAGAAGTTCCGTGGCTGGCCTGGCCGGCTGAACTGCTGCTGCTGGGGACGTTCATCAGCCAAATTCTGTCAGCCTTTCCCCAGCTGTTTGTTCTGCTAAAACAAGGAGGAACAAAAATTCCTTACCAAATTTCTACTTCTTTGTACCCTTCCACCTTTTCCTGGTAAAAACTGACCAACGGCTTTAAAACTTGTGGGGATAGGGGGTGGCCAAACAGCACGATCACGCCAGTCTTGTTTCATGAGGACGCTGGCCTGAAATAGGAAATCTTGACTGTTGTCTAGAAAGGAAAAAACGCTGTCAGGATCCAGCTTATTTATCTTTCCAAACATAGCCCCGTTACAGGGAGCGTTCTAAAAAGGCCCAGTGAGAGAAGCCATACTGAAAATATTCAGGGTAACAGCGTTATTCACATTGGGAGTAAAAAATCACGTTAAGGAGTCCCGCAACCTTTCCTTGTCTCACAGTTTCCTATTCTTTTGTTCTTATTTTATTTTGCCATTGCTCTGCTAATGGTTGTTTGTGTTTCTTTTCTTCCCCCAGTTATTTATTGGCACTTTGCTGTTTACAATCCTGCTGTTCCTCCTGCCTACCACTGCGCTGTATTATTTGGTGTTTACCCTGGTAAGGTTTAACCCTTGAAGCCAGTCACGTGCTGTCTTCAGAGATACTCCAGAAAGGTTTCCTTGTCACTTACTGTCATCCACAACGCAGATACAGGGCTTGTGTGAGTGGCCCAGGAAGGGTTCCCACACAGCCCCTGTGGGCCACGCAAGTGGAAATCCAGATACGTGTTTGTGTTTCTCCAAAGGGAATTCCTAGCAGATCCCAGTCAGCGGGACAAGCTGTTCCCCCCTCTTTCACTCGGAAGGCATTTTTTATCTTTCCAGCCCACGGTCCCTCTAGTTTGATCCAGAACTTTTTTTTTCAGGAAATTAACTTGCTGTGTTAAATGCTTTCAGCCAGGCTTTGCTCTGAGAGTTGAACTTCTTTATTTTTCTTTCCTTCCCCCAGTATGACCAGTCCTATCTGAGGCCTGCCTGGAGCAAAATTTTCCACAGACAGTGGCCATCACATGGTTTCAACATCTTTTTTTTGAGCCCTCTCTTCTCAGTCGAGCTTGGCAGCCAACAATAAATGCAGCCTGGCAAAAGGAGGTGCTTTAGTTGGGGGACAGAAAACCCAGGGCAGGACGCTCCCTTCTGACCGCTTTGCTCTTATTTAGATGCTCTGTGTGTGGTTTCTTCAGGCAGAAATAAACTACTTCAGCTCACTGTTGGAGAGAGAAAGATTTACCTTCACTGATACACGGTGATGGAGTTGGCTAGAAGTGGAAGCCTGAATGCTCCCTTTTAGACTGTGACCGTTGAAAGTGGAATAGCCCTCGTGTCCCTGCAGGTCACAGCCTCCCCAGCTGTAGGGGCTTCCTTTCAGTGACACCCTTAGGCTAGGATTGTCAAGGAACCTCAGGCAGGGTCTGGATGCCCAGCACATCTGGACATCAAACCCACTCTGGGAGGCTTTAGCTTAGCACACAACCGTGTCACATTGCAGATCAGCTCATGAATTTGTGCCTGTTGCATCTCCTGTTTCTCCAAGGTTTTCTTATTAAACTGTTTCTCCGTAGCTTCGTTTGCTGGTGGTGATTGTGCAAGGCCTGATACACTTGCTAGTTGACCTGATTGACTCTCTGCCTCTTTATTCAATCGTCCTTCGGCTCTGCAGATCCTACAGACTCGCGGGTAAGTCCTTCAGCACTGCATATGCAGAAGTTCAAGGATTTTGCATTATGCATTTAATTTTGACGCGATCGGTAGCTTCTGAATAGAAAGAGGCAGCGGGGGCAGGAAAGAACCTGAGGCTGAAATTGTGCAGGTGTCCATACTGTTAACCAGTTACTGCAGGGTGAGGATGTCAGTGGGAAGAAATTTGGTACCGAAGGAGAATCGGGAGCACCTTTACGAAGCCTGTGGCAGCTAAGCATGGCATCCAAGCAAGCACTGTATAGATGAGTTCATCTTTTGATTGCAGTTCTAGTGTACCAGGTCAGGTGAATCTTTTGAGAGTTAAACAAGCTGTTAACCTTGGAGGTTTGGGCTCTGAAACAAGCCAAATTACAAAAATACTTGCAACATCTGCTGTTTCCAAGGGCTGGATCTACGTTGGCGGTGAATCAATGGAGCTGCGTCAGTTCTGTGCTGACTTGACTAACTGAAGTCCTGATCTGAGGTGGTTGGATTCATTTCAGAGCTCTGGGCACATTTCAGATAATGGTTCTGGTTTTTAGACTCATCTGTCACTGTTTTGAAACTAGTCATTGATTTTCCACTTTTGGTAACCATCAGCTGTGGTTGGCATCAGAGCGAAGGGTCATTCTGAAATGGGTTTGGCTGTCGACAGCTATGGTTAATCTAGGTAAAATCAAGCAGATCTCAGTTGTTACCTCCCATCCATTTAAAGAGCATGCGGCAGGAATTTTAAACATAAGAAAGAGCTTGATCATCACTAAACCAAGGCTACTCATCAAATGCAAAGGAACCTTAGGCAGCCGATAACAGCTTTGTCTGTTGGAGCAGTGCCAGGCTCAATTTTGGGAAGGTAAAGCCAAGCCACGTTACCAGCTCTGTTGCTTTTCCACATGTGCCTTCAGCAGGCAGAAGTTTCCTGGCAGAAACTTCTTAACCCTTCAGGGCTGTCCTTGGAGAACAGGAGATGCTGCTGAAGAAAACCGATTCAGTAAAGAGCGGGTCATAGGACAGAAGGAAATCTTGTGGCCACTGAGCGATTAGGCCATATATTCCCATCAGTCTTGGTTACTGCTGGCTTTTGTTCAGCCAGCTGCCTTCTGCAGGTAATAAGCCTCCTCCCAGGCAGAGGATTGTCTCCTCAGATGAGTTTGTTAGCCAACAAAGACGGTCAGTCAGGTGTTTGGTTGCTCCTTTTAAACATTTTAAGAAAGAGAACACTGCAACGCCATGCTGCCTGCGAGATGAAGAGGTATCTCTGAGAATTTCTGCAGCCTGTGTTCCTGCCCCAGCTCAAAACCGTGTCCTTGGCGTGGTAACAGATGGAGCAGTTGAATCCAATTCAAAGGACTACAGAGAGTACACCTCACTTGATGTCCTCCCTGCTTAGGTTTTGCCTCCCTTTTCGGCCTCAGAACTGGGATGAGACATCCTCTGGCATATGTTAGGGCTGGTATTACAGGCACCATGAAGATGGCTCTACCAACATGAGTGGAGAACTTTGCTTTTTCTGTCGGCCAGGGTGTAGTGCAGTGGTTAAGTTCAGTTCAGTTCAAGCATGGTATCTGGCCTCCAGGTTCTGAATTGACAAAGTATTATATCGATAAAGCCTGGGCCAGGATAGATCCATGCACGCACAAGAAATGAAATCCGTATTTTCTTGCCATGCATCAGAAGTGAAATACTTTGGACTTTAAAAAGCCTTTTGCAAATATATCAAAGCCAGTGTCCTCTCCGCAAGAGTTCTGTCTGCCCAGTGTGAGCTAAAGGGATGCCACCTCGGCTGGGATGGGCACACTGTGATGTTGGGGGTTGGACTAGATGACCTCGAGGTGTCCCTTCCAACCCAAAACATTCTATGATTCTATGATTTGAGTGTGAAGTAAAGCGTAGCAGTGAGGGTCAGGGGTCTCGGACCCTGCCTGCACCCAGGTTCCCAACATACTGCCTGGTCGTGC